ATTCTGGAAATTGTTGATGGTTTTTGAATTCAGCTGTCCATTCTTCTTGGCTGTGTATATATGGCTTCATCTAAGCATGCCCTTCTCCACATCCCTCTATTAAATGCCAGTCTACTATTGAGAGGCGTGAGCTTTCAGTTGCTGTTCCATTGCACAACACATGTGTGTCCAATATAGCTTAAAACTGACCACAGTTCTTCTGAAAGAGTGACATAAGAGACCAGGTGCACACTTTATGGGAATAAGTGGGTTCCTGGAGGGTTCTAGAACTCCTGTCCTTTCTTTCTTTGCTGTGGAAACACAGGAGCCCTGTGAGGCAAAGCTGTGAGCCACAGGGCTTTGCCTGGCCCTCTGCTCAGGTTCCCACATGTTCTACTTAGCTCAGATACACTTGGAGCCTCTCTGTTTGTTAACTGCAGTCATAGTTTCCCTCACTCTTCTCTGCCCTTACACATATCCCCATATGAGGTGAGTAGGTGGCCTCCCTGTGCATCTGTGACCCCTTCTAGAGGGCACCTGTGCCCAAGCGAGCAGGACAGTGCTGGGAGGCCACATGTGGGCATTGACAGCTTGGGAGACACTTCCTTTTCCTTGTGTTACCTTGTTGGAGCTGTCACACCCCAAACACGCCCACATGATTTCACAAGTCATTAATAAGGGTCATGACAAATATAGCTCTCAGTGTACGGAGGATATTTGCTGATTTGAAACTGTTTGCAAGGCAACATTGCATTTAAGAAGACTCAGGCACCTGGCTCCCTCTCTGCAGATCCCTTCACACCAAGAGCGGCCAGCTCTCCTTCCTTTGTTCTTCTGTAGCCACTGGGTTTTCTGTTTTTAAGTCCTCTGCAAAACCATTTCCATAGTTAAATAAAACAGTTCTTAGCCTATGTGATTCCACATAAGAACAGCTCATGCGAGCCACTGGTCCTCAGCCCCCAGCTGCTTCACTGTGGTCTGTAAAGCACAGAGGTACCTGTGCTAAGGGCGAATTCATTTTGAGGCAGTTGCTACACCATCGCCTCTGTATGTTGAGATAGGGGACTGTATACAGGTGGCCTTCACAATAACCAAAGTAGCAATAGTTTGCAAATTTGGGCATCCATAAGCCACTGTGGAAAGCAGCCAAAGTCACATAAGTGTAAAAGGAATAACTCGTTCTGGGGAGGTGTTTCAAAGAAGCAAAATCTAGGGTCATCTTTCACTTCCTAACAGCCATGTGGCCTCTGTTGGGAGTCATTCCCAGCAGCCTCAGCAGCTAGCGCACATTGCAGAGCTTGACTGCATGCCACCGTTGGTTTTAATGACATGAGCTCTTAATAAACCAAAGGGAGATGGAGGACGGGAGTCTACAAAAGGCAGAGAAATACATCTGAGAAATATTTTTAACTTTCTTAAAGTGGTGGCAGAGATGTCAAGCACCCTCTGAGTTCCATAATTACCCAGCATTCCCTCTTTTTCAGCAGGGGCTACTCCACCTCTGGCGGGATGTGGTGTGTGTTGTCTGAGCCAGGCAGTTAGTCTGGAGGACAGCACTCTTGTCACTGCTGTCGGCCCCGGAGCGTAGAGAAACCAGAGGGGAAGGTGTTGGAGCAACCTTATGCCACTGGGTTAGCACGTGCAGTTGCTGCCTGATGGCAGGCATTGTAAATAACCTCAGTGAGAAGCCCACAGTGGCCCAGCAGCCTGCTGCTACCAGTGGGGGGGGGCGTTATGGGCATTAGCTTTGAGAAGCTTATATAGCAGAGGGGCCAGGATAAGGACACAAATCAGGGAAAAACTGACAAGATAAAAAAAAAAAACCCAAGGCCCCATATTTACTGTTCATCCCCCATGCTCTCTGTGTGCTGTATTGTCTGCCTTGCGTCGTGCTGAGAAGGAGCCAGGCACAATAATAGCTCAGAGCAGCCTCGCAGCCCCAGAACCATCCTGTGCCAGTGGTGCTGACGGAGCTGGCTGAGAATGGGATTCTGATAGAGTTGTCTTTCCCCCCCTTCCCTGTGAGACCACCGATAATTACAGAAGGCATACCGCAAAGACATAGTAAGGGTCGCCTGTTGGGCCATCCTGAAAAGTGATCCAGCAGGGATTCCTGCAAAGGTGTGTGCTATGCAGCCCAAGGGGGCCTGCCTGACACGTGTACATAGTCCGGAGAAGTCGGGGGACATGTCTGAACTACCAGTTCAAGGGCAGAGAGAAGCTCAGAACTGAGCTTTATAAATAGCACTATAGAGAGAAACAATAATTTCTCTCTCTCCTTCAGCCTCAGTAACTGCCTTGCTTTCTCCAAAGAAAGGCTGCAGTTCACTATGCTCCAAGCAGACACGGGTCTGTGACTATCTTGCCCAACCCTTGAGAAATTCCGAACCTCATGCAGGCATTCGCTAATCCAGTGGCTTTCAGCCCTGACTCTGGTTGGAATTACCAGGAAGTTTTAAAAGCACCTCCACCCCAAACCAATTCATTCCAGAACTATCAAGGGTGGGGCCCTGGCACTGGTTTGTTTTGGGAACTCACCAGGTGATTTATTGTGCAGCCAGCATGGGAACTGCTCCACTGTCTTTCCTCCTGCCTGTGGTCCACTGTAGACACAGGTAGCGCTTTCTCTGCGTGGGCCAGAGAGGAAGAACTTTGACTTGCCAGCCTATTCAATGTGCCACAGCTACCCACTTTACCACTGTGGTGTGAAGGTGGCCATTCACACACCACACACACACACATACACACACACACACACACACACACACACACACACACAGTGTTCTGATGAGATAGTTTGCACATTCATACTTGGGTTTCATGTAATTTTCACATGCAAGAAATATTGTCTTGATTTTTAAAAGGTATTTATAAGTATAAAAATAGGGCCTAGAGAGATAGCTCAGTAGTGAAGAGCAATTGATGTTCTTGCAGAGTACAGGTCCCCAGCACCCACATGGAGACTCGCAACCATCTGTAACTCCAGTTTCAGGGGATGTGACATTCTTCTGGCCTCTGTGGGTAACAGGTATTCACAATGTGCACATATATACATGCAAGCAAAATATTCATGCAACTAAAACAAAAGAAATGTTGAACTCTTGGTTTAGTATGGAGTTAATTTTCTCATTCAGTGCAATGACTGTGAGTCTCCCTGTTTGTACTTGGTGTAGAACATATTAAACAAGGGCTTCCTAAACCCTTTTCATTTGCCTTCCTTTCTATGTGAGAAAGTTTTACAGTGCCCTGGATATATAAGTATATAAAATAGATACACAAATCAAACATTTGCTAATTGTACATCATCAGTAAGTTTATTTTAGGGCTAGAGAGGTGGCCCAGCTGATAAAAGTACATGCAGCCAAACCTGACAACCTGAGCTCAATCCTTGGAACTCACAGTGTAGAAGGAGAGAGTCAGCTCCCTGGAGTTGTCCTCTGACCTCCAAATGTGGCCCATGGTTCATGCTATTGCACACACATAAACAATAAATGGATGTCAAGGTTTTTTTTTAATTAAAACAATTTCTAGATATAAAAATAATTTTACCTTTTATTAAAAACAAAAGGAAATTAGCATGCTATTGAGGTGGACGTGCTTAGTTATTTTTACAGAGAGAATTAAATTTTGGCAGGATATTTAATACTATGGAACACAGCATCTTCAATGATTTTCAGATCTCAATGTTTTGATTTTACTATTGCCAATGCTAAGAAAGAGCCAGCTCAGGAAGGGAAAGTGTGCCCTAACCCCAAGGCAAAATTTAGCCATTATTCTTGAAACTCAAATTAGCAACGTGGACTTCAACTATTAAAATCAAACATTCTTAGCACAATGCATTCTAAATGTACTCATTTAATACATACATGTTGGAGAATCATGTCAGGAAATGATTAAAAGTCTTTTTAAATTTTTTTATTTTATGTATATGGCTGCTTTGTTGCATGCGTCTGTGGACCATGGGCATGCCGTTCCCAAGAAGACAGCAGAGGGTGCCAGATGCTCTGGAACTAGAGTTCCAAACAGTTGTTGACCACCATATAGATGCTGGGAACCAAACCTGGTCTGCTGGAAAAACAATACGTGTTCTTAACCACTAAGCCATC